CAGTACTAGGCTAGATGAAACAAGGGTCTAACTCATAGGACAGCTCCCTGCCCGTGTTCCTACTTGATGCTGGTGCCTAGTTGCTAAAACATCTTTCCAACCCTGTCCAGAGGTGTTACTTAGAATATTTCAGTTGCTGTCTTTGCATACACAGACACATTTGTATTTTCATTTACTATGTTCATACGGAGTGCTTGAGAAGAGCAAGAAATAAACCCTACCATATTCTTTAATATAATAAACAATCATCCCACAAATGTTTTGAGATCTAAACAGACAAGAAAACTGCAGTATGAAATTTCCCTTGACATTTCTTGTAGAATTTTGGCTCCCTGCATTTTTCTTTCTCCCTCCTCAGAACAGGGAAGCTCACATTACAACTCAGCCCAATCTTGAGCCCAATGGCCTCATTGATTAGCCATTAGGGAGGCTGTGGGGAATGGATTATATTGCATGAGCCTGGACATATGGATGATTTCAGCGCCAGCTGTTTCCAGAGAAGAGACTGAGAACCTCTCAACTAATCCTCTTGTTATTGTTGGTTCTTTTTCATTTTTTTGCTGCTGCTGCTGCTGATTTTTGCTGTTAATTAATTAACATGAATGGGAACTACAGTGAGTTCATTTTAGAAATCACTGTAAGTGTGAAACTACACAGTCCCCAGCAAAGGTGTGCTTGTGAATTCCTGTTTACAGAAGCAATAGGAATACTAGAGAGACTCCCTAGAGAGAACCAGAGGAGGGATGTGTGCTTAACCCTTCGCACACCTGCTGTTTTTTCTCCCACCTCCAACACAGCCAGTTGCTCTTCAGCAAGACTTATTCTAGCTTTCTCAACCAGCTGGCATGGAGAAAAACAGTCTTGTAGACATTTTCAGGAGATAATTGGAAGGGTCAAACACTCTCTCCTAAATGTCCTGTTTCCATTTTGCCTTACAAAGGAAGCATGTTTGGAAACAGATTTTTCCCTTGCAAATCTAGTTGGTCACTCACTGAAAGAGAAGAGGTAGATAATATTGTTAAGGAAACTTTTAGTATACAAAACATTCCCAAAGTACTTCAGAAGATGAAAACACACAAAAACATCATAACTAATAAAAACAAGTGACAATAATCATACATTCTGCAGAAAAATAACTGTGCTCAAAACTATCATCATGATGTCCCTTAGAAAACAAAACTCCAGAGAAGGACATGAAAAATGAATGAGTCTTGAAGGCTTTTCTCAAGTGATTGGGCTTGGTAAACTTCGATAGGAGGTACATTCCAGACACGTTGCAGAAAAAGTCTTGTTCTTTTTGTTCATCAACTTAACTGCATCATGACCACCATACATTTGTATAGGATATCACATGAATTATGCATTTCTTGTCCTTGCAACAATCCTGTACAGCAAGTCAATATTATTAACCCCTTCATATTGCAGACAGGGAAACTGAGGCTAAGAGTGGCTTTCCTAATGCCACTGAGTGAATCGATGACAGAGATGGGATTTGAACTGGGGCTCTCTTTAGTCTCTCTATCCACTGTGCTAAACCAGAAAATCTCTTAAAGCACATGCTATGGCTCTCTCTGTGTGTTTTAATGCAGTTGTTATAAGAAGTTGAATTCTAATTTAAAAGGAATACTTTTATTCCTTTCCCAACGCCCAAAGGAGATCGCAAGCCAATACTTGTGGTTTCTTTTCTCCTTCCTTGTCTAATTGGACATATTTCCCTAAACATTCTATACGAGCAATTGCTTATTGGCTAACTAAACATGGCTATTAAAATTATAGTTTCCATCTGATTCGCAAAACTTTACTGAAATATTTGCCTTGGTTTAGGTTACCGTTTGAGAAAATTAACGTATTATATAACATCATAATCTATATGGGAAGTGTATGAGCATTGGTGTCTAACAGGACAATATTTAAGTTTACTCAGAAGTTGACCCCACTGTGTTTAATTGAAGATATTCCCCAGTATCATGGAAGAGTTGGTGGAAGAGGTACATCCCTCCCCCACTAACGTGGAACACAATCTGTTAAGGATTTATCTTGTAGAAGCTTCATTAATATGAACAGGAATTACCAAAGAGCGTGTGTATAAGAGGTTTCTGAGGGATAGGCAGCCAGGCCATCAGGTAAGCATAGGTAATCTCCAGCAGTATAAGCAAGAAGGGGAGAACAATACCGCTGCTCTTGCTGGTAATGGTGGGTAGTCACTTACCCTGACATTCTGTTTGCATATATAATTGCACATATATTGTAATCTCATTTATTTTGCATCGTACAATTGTTTCTTAAGGAAAAAAAGCAAAAAGTGAGCTGGAAGAGGAAAACAAATGAGATTTGCCACTGGAGTGGCTATCACTGGTAATTACTTACCCTGACTCAGCACCAGCATTTCTTTGCAGATTTGAAAAACATATTTTATTGAGACTATCAAGTTCATACTATCACACTTATTCCATGTAATACAATTGTCTTGTCCTCTTAAAAAAGCAAGCTGCAAGAGGAGAGCAAATAGATTTGCTATTGTTAGTTCCAATTACTTACTCCATCCCTATTTATAATTATTTAGCTTTTTAAAAGTTATATTTATGATTGTAAGGTGATACAGATTCTTTTTTCCATGTAATACATTTTTGTTTTCTATTAAAAATAAGTTCTTTTAAGTGTGTATGTCCTTATCTTCCTGTGAACACGCAGATGCCTAAAAACACACACAGATTACATAGGCACAACTTTATATTTTATTATAGATATAAACCCACATCTGTTTCTAACACCAAAGTAAAATTATTGTATTATAATTGCCTGATATTTTATTCCCCTTTCCAAAGCAATTAAATAACCGTCATTCTGTCTTTTCACAGTAGTTTTTGCTAATCTTGCAGGGGAGCAAAAAATGTTCTTTTTGTGGACCTCTAGCACTATAATCCTTCTTTTATAATGCACGAACTGTCTTGCATAAACATATGGACCATGTTTATCCTGATGGACATCAGGTCAGAAAACTAGCTGTCTCTAAACATGTTAAAAGTCCCCTCCGATCACCACTGCGTAATCAAGGATGCAATGCTAGAAGGCATTCCAGGTACGCTTGAGCCTCAGTGTCTCTCTGCAGGAGTGCAGATTCTTTACTAAACTGTATGAGAAAAGGCAGGTGTTATAATCGAAATATTTAGCAATTGGATTTTTGTCACAGGCTATAAAAAAATCTGGGTTTATGTGCAATACATTAATTCTGTGCTTTTGATTTTAATTACCCAGGTAGTGTATGAATTAAGGTAGATTGTTTAGTGGATTTATCAAAATGTGTGTCTTATTTCTGACATTATTAGCAATTAGATTTGCAATCGAAGCACAGGGTAAAATTCCATGCAAGCTTAGATGGAAAAAAAACCTAGAACTGCTGCATTCTCCAGCCAGCCTTGCTTCTGAGTACATATCCCTAGATTGCACTGCACTTGTCCAAGTTTTAGGCCATAGTCCTATACGCCCTTACCTGGGAATAATTCTATGTGTTAGACTGTGTCTAATTTGCATAAGTTTTGGGATAGTGTGGCATAAAGTTACACCATTCAGGTACTGAGACTGTAGGCCATTTCTCAGTTCTACTTCAAATAAGAGTTTGGTAGCATTGACTGGCACTTATGATTCCCAGTTTGGAAATCTGGATTACAAACGCTTTATAATACCAAAAATCCATACAGTGTCATTGCTTTACTAGGTCACTTAGGAGGCGAGACTGAAAGAGGTGGGCATGCTTAGCCTTGAGAAAAGAAGACCAAGGGGAGATATGATAGCACTGCTCAAATACTGAAAGGCTGTCACAAGGAAGAGGGCTAGGATCTCTTCTGCAATCACCGCGGAGTGCAGGACATGGAATGACAGGCTTGAGTTACAGGAAGCCAGATTCTGGCTAAGTACAGTATCAGGAAAAACGTCCTGACTGGTATAGCCATAGGGCGGTGGAACCAATGGCCCAGGGAGGTTGTGGCTCCCCCACTCTGGAGGCATTCAAGAGGCATTTGGACGGCCATCTGTGAGGGATGCTTTAATGTGCATCCCTGGACTGAGCAAGGAGTTGGACTCCACGGCTTTGTAGGTCCCTTCCAACTCTACTGCTATTCTATGATTTTGCCTCAGAGGTCACCCCCTCGCCTAGATGTACAAGATGCCGAGCTCTCCTCCTGAAGCGAGTCGTTGCAAAAAAAAGCAGGTGGAGGTGGGTAGAAGGCGATGCAGGCTGTTGCCATCCGGATGTCTGCAGAGTCACGTTCTGAAGGTGAGCCGGGGAAAGCCTCGGACCCTGCAGAAATCCTTCAGCATCCAGCCAGCTCTTCCTCACCCCCATCTGCTTTTACGACCCTCTTGCCTGAGAAAGCGCTCTGGAGATCTCGAAAACTCGCTCGTTTGCGGGTGCTCTTCCGATTTGGCTTAATCACGGTGCATCACTCCTGCGGGCTTGGGAATCCCCTTGCTCGGCCTGCGCGATTTTGTCTTTCGCGGCGGCGGCGGCGGGTCTTCCCCCTCCTATCGCACCTCTCCAGGCGCGCACGGCGCAGGACGGCGCGGCGAGGGAAGCGGCTCCCAGGCGGCCCGGGGGCGGGGGCGGGGGCGGGGGGGGCGCGCACCCGGGCGTCCCGCTCGTAACACCTCCTTCCCGCGCCTCCTCCCGCGGCCTCGCTTCCCTCCTTCCCGGCAAGCGCTCCTGCCGCCTGCCGCGTCCCCGGCGCTGGTGCGCCTGTGCGCGCAAGGCAGGCGGCGAGGCGACGCCGCGACGGGAGTGGTCAGTGGCGCAGGGCGAGCGCGAGTGGGCAGAGCCGCGCGGCGGGCGAGCGCCGGGAAGGCGGAGACGAGGCAGCAGCAGCCGCAGCCGCAGCAGCAGCAGCAGCCGCCGCCGCGCCGCCCCCCGCCGCCATCCCTCCGGCCGTCCCTCCATCCCTCTCCGGCGAGCAGGTGCCGCGGCGGGAGCGCGTCGGGAGCGGCGAGCGGCGAGCGGCGGCGCCACGATGTTGGAGATCCAGCTGGACGATGGCGGCGTGGGGGGCTACCCGGGCGACGACTACTGCTCGGGCTCGGTGATGTCGGAGCGGGTGTCGGGCCTGGCCAACAGCATCTACCGCGAGTTCGAGCGCCTCATCCGCTGCTACGACGAGGAGGTGGTCAAGGAGCTGATGCCGCTGGTGGTGACCGTGCTGGAGAACCTCGACTCCGTGCTGACCGACAACCAGGAGCACGAGGTGGAGCTGGAGCTGCTGCGCGAGGACAACGAGCAGCTCCTCACCCAGTACGAGCGCGAGAAGGCGCTGCGCAAGCAGGCCGAGGAGGTGAGCGGCCCGGCCCGGCCCGGCCCGGCCCTGCGGAGGCCCAGGCCCGGCGGGCGGCAGGACGGGGCCCCCCGGCGCGCAGCGGGGCGCGGGGCGCGGCCAGGCCCCGGCCGCCTGCCCGCCCGCCCGGGGAGGCCTCTTACTCTCGAGAAGCCCCAGCGGCAGCGGGTCTGCTTTTGGATGAATGGCGTTTTCCGAAGCTTGCCCCCCTGGGTTTGGCTGGTGTGGCGTGCAGTCTGAGATTCATCATTATCATCATGAATTGATAGAGTTTAGTGTGAATATTATTATTATTATTCTGCTCGTGTACGGGGCTCCTAGTGGCTTGCCGTGTATACTCAGCTCCAGCAATGTGAACCTAGATCATTTGCTGGGCCAGTAAGTTGCTGGTACCAAGTCAATGGTTTATTTTGTCCTTGGTTTAAAGAGAAAATAACAGGTGAAAGGATGGAGGCCCTCACTACCAATCAAAATGGGGGAAATGACCCTGAAATGGGGAATCTGCGTTTCCTGAGTTAATGGAGGCTGTGTAGATGGTACTCATGGACCCCAGCTTCAGCATTTGAAAACGTACCATAGCCCCCACCCTGAGCTGTAGGGGTGGAGTGAGGTGAAGTGGAAGTCCCATGAAGCACGGCGGGAACAAACGGTGTAGTCTGCTGTTTTAATCTGGTTACCCCTCCTATCCTCTCTCCCAAGTAAGGAACATCTCTCCCCGCAAAACTCCACCGCCTGCCCTATTGGCTGGGCCTCAACCCAAGCTGGGTGCCCATCCTCTGGCTCCATTTCCCTCGCATCCTTGCTCCACACAGGATAATGCAGCCACCTGAATCCCTGTTCCATTAGTCCTGGCAGCCAGCCAGATCCTTCTGCCTCCCCTGAAGTAATGCTTGTGCCTGGACGGAATATTCTGTCCCTAGACCACAGGAAGTCATCCTACCAGCTTCTCTCTACTTCTCACCACACTGCAGCTTCGTCTGGAAGCCTATCTGTCATCCCCCCACCCATTTGCCCTCTCTAGATTTTAATTTTCAGAAGTTCAGCCCACCTTCTGGGCTCTTCCCTCCTCTCTTGTCCTCTCACTTGCCATTAGGGACTCATCCACCATACTGTTATGGGCCTGGTGAAAGTAGAGAATGGAATATACCATGTTATTTCAGGCTGTTTTCCCCAGAGGTGCCAGCCTTTGCTGTATGTACTAGCCACCATTGTGTGGTGCAGAGTGCCTGTGTGCATGCGTGTGTGTGTGTGTGGGGGGGGCATTTGTAAACATTGGAAGAGAAAGTGAGCCCTACATCTGTTTTATTATATTGGTAGATTTTTTCAGTGGTTTACAGAGTATCTGAAAGGGTTTCTGACTCACCCCCACTTTTAACAGTAGCAAAGATCGTAAAGACTCCCCCCTGTCTAAGTCTGCTGAAATTAAGAGAGTTTGTGGGCAGGGCAGAGCAGTTGTGTGAAAATGGTTGTAAGCTAAATTTTAGTACTGAAAATAATTTTGATTCCCAGCATGTGCTGAGGCTTGCCCTAGTCCTTAATTTGATGTCGTGGTCTGCCTCCTAGAGCCACAGTTTGCATCTGGGTCCATTTGGTGGATTTCAGGATTCTAGTTAAAAAACACAGTCAGTCCTACAAACATGAAATCTGTTCACTCCTGGTTTGTGGGCAGAGGTAGTTGGGCATGAAATTTGGATGAACTAGCAGATCTCCAGGTGTCCTGTGGTGAATGAGCATAAATTTCTGAGTCCAAGTTTTTCAACAACATCAATTAAATCATGCTTTTTCTCTGCTGCCCTAAATTGTACTGTTGAAATGAAGACAGTGTGGTAATCAGGTGTAGATTTTTGTGCTGGAAAACTGGGCACTACTTGGTTCTGTCATTCAAAGCCCAGTCATGAATCTTGGATTTCAAACTTTTAAGCATGTGTTCTTTGCATCAGCTTAAGGTTTGTTGATTTGGGGGTTCTAGTAAAAGAGAAAAAGCAGAAATCCTGCAACCGGTCTCTGGAGTGAAGAACATGTTCTTATGGACCAGAGACCTCTCGGCTTCTATCTGTCTCATAACAATTTCATTCTGCATGTCCATGGTTTGGACAGAGTTGTTTGTTGCATTATTTGAGAACAGTGAGCTGGCTGGGTAAGTTTGTTTATTTTCTGTTAATGTTAATATGTTTCTATCCTGCCTTTTTCCCTTTTTGCAAGGAACACAAGGTAATTGGCACAGTCCTGCTCTCTAGTTTATCTTCACAACAAGATAGGTCAGGGACTAGCCAAAAGTCACCCAGGAGCTCCGTGGCAGAGTGAGAACTGGTGTCCCAGTCTAGGACTCGTAACCATTACGCCGCTCTGGCTCTGCCGGCTAAGCTGAGAGTTGTAGTCCAACAGAGTCGTTTGGAAGACTCCAGTGTGAAGAAGGACTGTTTTCAACAAATATATGTTTATTGTTTTTATACGATGAAGCCAAGTATAGCTGGAGTACAGGAGATGTTTGTGCTGAGGATGCAGTCATGCTGGGGTGGTTAATGCTTTTCTTTTTGCCTCATCAGCCTTGGGTGTCCCTTTCCCTTACATCAGTTGCCTCAGGATGTTCCTTCTGGCCCCTTGGGTGTCTGATGGCTGAGTCCAGTGTCATTATCTTTACCTTTACTTGGCTAGGAACAGGACAGATAGCTGTGAACCATTGCATGAGAGGCTTCAGAGAGAATGAGAATTAACAAAACTGTGGCATATTTCTTTAAAAGTGCTTTCCGTATTAATATGCTCTGCCAGCCAGTTAATCACAGTGATATTTATATGAATCCCTTAAGCCTGCCTAAATTAGAAACAAACCGTCAGATTTTTATCCCTGCCCATCTTCCCCCAAGAATGGTGTCCTTCGATATGCTTGATGGTTGAAATGTTGCTTTTCCACTGGAGGAGAGAGTAAAGTCTTAGCATCATGCTCCAGTCAAAGTTAAACTTAATGGGACTTCGGAGTACATATGTGTAGAATTGTGCTGTTAAAGTCCCATTGCTTTCAATGGGAGAAAGTCAGAGGGTGCTTAACAGCACTGTCTCATTTTGAAGGAAATGGACCTTTCTTACAAGTAAGTCTATTGGGACTGCAATCTAACTGCTCCTGGTGAAATCATTGAGACTAAAATGTGCTGGGGTTTGGCTCCATTATAGCTCAAGTGTCTTCAAGCTTAGAAAAGAGGTGGGGAAAGATTAAAAATTAATGCAAGTAAGGAGCTGCAGTTTGCTTTTTGGCAACTGTGTTTAAGCAATCTATCTGTGCATTTTTCTGCCCAAAGACATCTGTGACAATGGTAGCAGAAATACACAATGCACACACACATCCCAAGATTGCCTGCTCTGACTGGCAGCTGCCCTTCAGAGTCTAAGGCCCTCTTTACCAGCACCTGATCCTATGCTAAAAAGCAAAAAACCCAATGATTTATTGTTTTATTTAATTTATTTATTATATTTTCAGTTTGCCCACTACACCTCCCCTCTCTGTCTCTCTCTCTGTCTCTGGGTTGAAACATACACATTGATGGAAGAAAGCCTGCGTCTCAGAGCAAACCAGTAGCTTTTAGCCACTGATGAGGAAGTGTTCGTCTTTTGCCAGAGCTGTTCTGAGGGATTCAACTTCAGAACCCTGTTAGCTGGTATCCTTCTGTGAAGATGCATCCTATGCTTAGGAAGCTGCCATTTATTACATTGGGCTGCATGTCCATCTGGTCCAGAATTGTCTACTCTGGCTGTCAGCTGTTCTCTAGGGTTTCAGGGGGAAAGATTTTTTTTCCTGTTATTTAGGGATGTAAAGGTTTAGTTCTTTTTGTTCCATCATCTGCCCCTTAGCAGAATTGCAGTGTAGAATTCTGCCTGCCTGCCTGCCTGCCTGCCTTTCCCTTCCTTCCTTCCATCCTACCATTATTCTCTCTTCCTTCACATGCATGAGCACACAGTAGGCCTACTCTGCACCTGCACTAATGTGCTTTGCTATGACTATGCATCTATGCCTGTCCCCAGCAAGAGTTTAAAAAAAATGGTCCTCAACTCTGCAAAGCCTGCATGACTCGGAAAAAGCTGGTCTGCTGCAAAATTTCCATTCATTTGAATCCTCCAGATTTCTCCGCCTTCTGACTGTTACCTGATCCTTCTAGCTGGAGATGCCACGATTGAACCAAGAACTTCTGCAGACAAACCTGTGCTCTGCCAAAGGATTCTGGTCCCTCTCCAAATAGAAACTTGTTGAGCGCTGTAACCTACATCAGCCCAGCAGGGAGGATCTGTCCAATGCTGAGGCTGCTGCAGTAAAGTTTTCTTTTTGGTGCCAGTGTCTAAATTTATTTATTTATTATTTATTTAGGAGACTTCTATGCCTCCCCATTCGCCGAAGCCTCGGGGCGGCTAAATGATAGACAATAATCAGCTGCGGGAGGAAAAACCCATTTCCAATTTCTAAGTAGCATCAGATTGATTAGGAGTGTGGGTGACCAAGCAGTTCAGATTTTTCTATCTTTAGATACTGAATATATATCAGTATCTTGTGGCTACTTTGCATTTTTTCTTTGTATGCTCTTAACCTTGCATTTTCATTGCCTAACTGATGCTAAGCTACACTTGGCATTTCTGTTGCCCTTAGTCTTTCTGCAGTACTTTCTGTACTGAAAATCTTGACAGCCCATGAAAAACTTTGCAAGCAGGTTTCATTGTGGTGTTTTCAGGCTGCCTTGCTTGAATTACTTGATCCGTCTTTAGAGAATAGGTGTCTGACACGGATTTTGCAAGTAGGACCTGCAATGAAATGGTGCAGAGTGGAATGCTCTTGCTGCCAGCCAGCCTGACATGCCTGTTCAGAGATATTCCATACCGCTCTCCCTGGTTTTCTGCGTTCCCTCAACAGGCATTAAATATGCTGAATTCCTTTTGGGATGGTTTGAGCTTATGTAGGCTTTTTTATTTTTTTCTAAAAAATTTTGGGGGCGCTTTTGCAAATCTGCCTCCTGTTTGTG